TTTTTTTTATTAAGAGCAGGACAGCAAAATTGCTTTCATCTTTGGTGCAACAAAAAAGGCTTTGGATGAGGATACACGTGGAATGTTCTAAATTTCAAACTGATTTGCAGAAGTATGAATGCCAAAGTAGAGCTGCGTGACTTTTAAATTTCTCTACTCACTCCCTAAAGTAAATGAATGCCCTATGAGAATATAGGCCATGCAGCTTTCTAAACATTGGATATTCCATGATGTGTTTTAGAATATGCTGAACTGAAAACATTCCTAACTAGCTGAAGCTCCAGTCCTTTTTAGCAGTTGCACAGTTGTCTCAGGCTACACATCAGGCCACTGAAAGCAAAAATCACTCCCCATCTCAGAGTCTATTTTGATGTCATGGGTTTTCCATTCTAAGGGCTCATCATGTGGCAAAATGGACTTTGGAGCTAGACAGACTTGATTTGGAATCTTAATTCCCTATGTAACTGGCTATGTGATCTTCAGCATATTTGCTGAATCTCAGTTTTCAAATACTTTAAATGTAATTAATATCTATACCTTTGGGCATTTGTGTGGTAAATGACATGTGTGAAGAATCTAGTACAGGATAGACACTCAACTCCATACTAAAAACAAGGGAAAGAAAGAATATTTAGGAATGTTGGCTAAGTCTCCCCTCATCTACCACAACCACAGGGACTACAAATTCTCTTGGCATCTGGGCTTTTCCTGTGGTCAGCATATACTATCGAGTGCAGCCATCTTCAAAGATTTTGCTGTTGTACAGCCCTGAAATAGTTTTGAAAATCTATGAACCCTGATGCACATTTTAAGTTGGCATCACATTTTTTAAAAATCACAAGTTTAAAGAGTTGCAAAGGAGGTAATTCCTGGTAAATTCTAAATATATATGTGCTTTAAATGTATTTTTTTCCAAAACCTTGAAGTTACCAATTTAGCTTATTCAATTTATTATTTTTCTGTTCTATAACTTAATTGCCGAAGTTTATCCTGCTTGCCAAATTAAAATGTCAAATAAGTCTTGATTTTTGTTAGAAAATATAGTCAGACTCCATTTTTCAAGGCAAATAATTATGTTCATACATGGTCATCTCTCTTAGCTTTATTCTCAAGTGAACTACACATTCTGGAAAATCCCTTAGTTTAGTGCCTAGAGGTATTTACTCCTTGGGACATTGCATCATAATAAGATTGCAGATGGTATCATGTCTGCTTTTCTTTTATAAAATGGGAGAAGGGTGACTAATAAAGGGAAAATGAGGAAAGATGATCAAAATTCAGTGTTTTTTTTTATTTTAGCATATTACAGGGGTACAAATGTTTAGGTTACATATAATGCCTTTGCCCCACCAGAGTCAGAGCTTCAAGCGTGTCCATTCCCCAGACGGTGCGTACTGCACCCGTTCCTACTCCCTCCCACCTGCCCAACGCCTGACAAATCTTATTACTATATGTGCACACAATTGTTGATCAGTTAATACCAATTTGATAGTGAGTATATGTGGTGCTTATTTTTCCATTGTTGTTATACTTGACTTAGTAGAATGGGCTCCAGCTCTATCCAGGATAATACAAAAGGTGCTAGATCACCATTGTTTTTTGTGACTGAGTAGAACTCCATGGTATACGTATAACACATTTTATTAATCCACTCATGTATTGATGGGCACTTGAGTTGTTTTCACATCTTTGCAATTGCGAATTATGCTGCTATAAACATTCTAGTGCAGATGTCTTTTTTATAAAACCATCCTCATATAGCCATCTAATCTTTCACAAAGCAGATGAAAACATACACTGGGAAAAAGAATCCTTATTCAATAAATGGTGCTGGGAAAATTGGATAGCCACATGTAGAAGACTGAAACAGGATCTGCACCTTTTAGCCTCACAAAACTCAACTCATTGTGGATAACAGACTTAAACCTAAGGCATGAAACTATAAGAAATCTGTAAGAAAATGTTGGAAAAACTCTTATAG